GAGATGGGGTCAGTTTAAGTGATACCAACCTGGGTTTTTTTGGGGGGTCTCCAGTGAGGTGTAGGAAAGGGGAAACTGGGTTTATTAGGAATCTAAATCTGATTTAAATCAGAGAGTCTAAGTAAGGAAAGGTCCTTATACAAACACCCTTGATCTGTTTGCCGGTGACACCATAAAGCCTAAGCACTGCAGAGCACTTAACCTGTAGCTAACAGTGGCATCCTCTCTGCTCCTCCAGGAGCTTTTCTCCATTGTGCACCCTCACACATGGCCATTGCACCACGGGTGCTCATTCATATAGTCATGCACATCCTGTTGCCTTTTATTACCTAGTGCACGTGCTTTGCTCTCCTGTGGCACTCCCTATTGCACCTCACACCACATTGTCAGAGCGGCACCTTCTTCCCTCAAGCACCCTTGCTACCCTGATTGTCCCACAGATAGGCACGCCACTTACACACATCCTCTTTCCTGCCATGTCGCCCTCAGCCTGCAGTGCAAAAATACCTGTCTTACTCACACAGAAAAAGCAAGCACACACATACTTAGTTGTGCCACTCTTTATACACACACGCTACTAGAGAAGAACACATGGGAGTTGTGCATGTCTCCTGCTAGGAGAAAGTCCATAGAGAAGACAAGGCTCTGCAGAGTCCTGCACACACTCAGAGGGCGAAGAATACCTACTAAGCGTTTTATTCAGCCCAACAACTGCCTTAGGCAGTTCTTGGAGGTTTGTCCTGTAAGCACTGTCCTAGTCCTGCTCTGCTGGGCTTGCAGGTTGTGTCAGAAGTAGAGCGCAAATTGATCCCACTGCATTTCCTCATCCCTTTCTCTGGCAGTTCACATTGGGTGTGTGTTTCCACTACCCACTTTTCTCTCTTGCACTGTATATTCTTCATCATCAGTTTTGATTTATTTCTCATGCTTAGAGCCACCCCACTTTCTACCACCTTAGATTCACTCTGTTTCCCTGTCTTTGTACAAACACGTATGAACATGCATGTATATTTGCAAACAAACACACGTGTTGGTCCCCTCACAAAACTGTCAACCGGTAATTCACCTCAGGCTTGTCCCTCTTAGATGTGTGTTATTGCAGGGATATGGGGAAGACTTTCCTCAATAACAGAGGTGCTGAAGAAGGGATACCTCGAGTTGTCCAGAGAGGACTGCCCAGACAATCGCATGGGAAATGAGCAGGTACGGTAGACCAGAGGGTTGCAAAGCTCTTACCTGGAGCGTGCCACAACAGCAGAAAACAGAGCAGAGGAATTGTGAAAAATGCAATCACTTGTTGAAGAACCATATAAACCAGGAGAAAACCAGTGACAATTATGTTGATATTTCATCAAAGCCCAGAAGGAAAAATGCTTTTACAACACGTGAAAAAATTTAGGGAAAACAGGCATTCCCATTTCTCTTTTTTGTGAACTTTTGGGTGAAAACCTTTGCTTTCAAAATGTTTCTTATTCTTCTTCTAACTTTCCCTTTTCTCACTTCTTCCCATTTTTCTCTGCTCAATGGTTTTGCCCCTGTGGAGCAGCATGTAGATGCAAATAAGGGTGATGAACAAGAAATGACCCCAAAACCCAGAAAAATAAAATTATGATCACTTGGGCTATTTTTCAGTGTCAGAACAAAGTGAAGACAATTTTGAATCACAGAAGCCATTTGTTAAATTAGAAATGTTCATTAAAATCAGTTCCTGTTTTCCCTTCTCTCTGGAGTTCACCATTCCAGGGTTTATTTGCTAAGGAAGATTACAGAACATGACTGGTACAAGAAGAGTAACGAATGACCAGATGTTGCAATAAGAAACTAAGCAAATTTGCAGTTAGGTACAAAATGCCGGATATACGTTCAATTTCTATAGCTGTAGGATAGCTCAAGGGAAAGCAGCAAGGACACAGGAGCTGTGATTATACTCAGGCACTGAAGAAGTAGGCTGAACAGAGACCTTCTCCTCAAATAAAGATTCATGAAGCCAATCCTCAAATCAGAGTGAAGGCCCCTGAGTGTGTGAATGATATTCAATTGTAGCAAGTGATTACTGATAATTAGCTTGCAGAGTAATTGCAGTGCAAGTAGAGGAATCCAACGCTGCAACAGTCTGTGCTTACAAGCACGAGGATGCCAGCAGCAGAAACAGAATAAGAGAGAAATCTGGTGCAAGATAAAGAACCGGTGGATAAGGAGAGAAGAGTGGGCAGGGACTGAGATGCTTAAGCAGCGGATAGCATCTGAATGTTCATCTTTCTGTCATTTTTTTTTGTTTCTAGAAAAGAAGAAGAATGAAAAGGAACAGAGAATAGTCACGAGAAAGAGAAATGACAGAAAGGGAAAAGAGTACTGGGTGGCAGATAGTCAAAGAGAAAGGATGACAGAGACACAGAGATGCAAGGTGCAAGAGCAGGACGGGGCGGGGAGTTAGATCACTGAGTCAGATGGGGAAAGGGATGGTGAGTACCAAACGGAGAGCAGGTTAATTCTAAGAGAAAGGCGCTCATTTCTTATGTGAGCAAGAAACTGGAAGCACTCATTTTACCTGTCCATGACTGCCAGGGCCTCTCTCAGGTTGTGGGGTTGCAGGGAGGTTGTCTTGCAGGGTCTGTCTGTGCAGCCCTCTGACTTGGTGTACAGAAGTGTGGACTGCCCCGTGTGTCCCCTCCCCATTCACCCCTATCTACCCCCTGCCGGGTGTCACTGGGGTGTGGTTGAGGGAGGAGTTAGAAAGGTCTCTGGAGCTGCAGGAGCCACAGAGCGAAGGGTTGAGATGCGAAGGGGCATCAGTTCTGAAAGATGCTTGGCACCCATTGGTCCCCTCCCCCCGCTGCACTCCCCATTGGGCCCTCCCCGCCTGCAAAATTATTCTGAATTAATGTCAATAACATAACGAGGCAGGAAGCATTGTCTAGTGGTTAGAGGGGGGGCCTGGGAGCTCGCGTACCACTAACGTGAATGTGGGCAAAACCACACTATCCCTCTGGGCCTCGGGCCACACAGCTGTGCAGCCAAGAAAGATGGTGACCCTGCCCTGCCCCGCTGTGGAGGGAGCTCTGCCCAGCGCCCCGCAGCCACCCCGCTGGAAGGAACACAGGGAAGGCCAAACTGTCGGCAGGCTTCCCCCCACTCCACTGTGTCCCCCGGAAAGGCCTGGCAGCTGCTTGGCAGCGTGAGGCAACACCGGAGCCAAAGAGGAGAGTGAGAAGGACTCAGCTCCGGAGAGAGCCCGGAGTGTGAGAGGGCCCCACTTTGGCACCTGAACATGGCCATGGGCGCCGGAGCCATTCCAATGGGCCAGGAGCGGTGGCGAGGCTGCATTGCAAAGCTGCATGCAAAGGACGGGTGGGCAATGATTCGGGGCCTGATCCTGTTGTTCCAGGCAGCATTGGTGCCGCAACCTGCTGGCGGCAGGGTGGCTGCCGGCACCCCGGGGCTGATGGCCGCGGCGCAGCAGGCGTGTGGCCAGACCACCGTCACGGCCGGGCTCACCCTCAGGATGCACACTCTTCGCTCTGCCAAAGCCGCTCTCTGCCGCCCGGACTTGTCTCTACCACGGCCCCGCAGCACCTGCCCGGGCACCCGTCCCCTCTGCAGAGCTGAGGGACGGCTGAGGGACAGGGCAGTGGGTTTGGCTGGGCAGGGAGCTGAGGAGGCAGCCAGGGGACACGCTGCTCCTCTTCTGCCTCAAGCGGGGCACGGGCATCGTTACGGCTGAGAAACAGGGCTTTTGTTTACCTCACGCTAGGGTAGTTCTTCGTTTTTTCTCTGCTTCATTTACTTTCCTTATTAATTTTACTGGCTTTCAGCGTGCTAGGGCTGTGCGAAACCAGTATATGCAAAAACATGAAAAGGAGAGATGAGTTGCCAGAACAGAGCAGAGGACTCTCCAGCCCAGCACTGTGACAGTACGTGCCTTTGAGAGCGGATGGCATGGCACACTTCAGGAAAAGGAGAAGCACTCCTGGAAGGTCCAGGGCTGGGCTGCCCCATGCCTCAGGCAGATGTCTGGGTAGGGCACACGCTCATCGAATCCACATTTTGGCAGCTGCATTGGTCTCAAGCGTTGTGGCAATTACCTT